TATCATTCAAGCGTTTGTGCGGTTTCTGCTGCCCAACATGAAAGGTGCTTTATCAACTTGCAAGTTGTTCTTTTGGACTCTCAACCTATTCGCTCCAGTCAGGAAGATGTAGGCTCCAAAGACTGGATTTCCGTGGTTGAAATCCCATGTGGAAAAAACGCTGAGTTCGAGAATTACAGGACATTTGTACAGCGCATTTCACGTCGGGAGGACGTCCCAAGGCGCTAGAAAGTCAGGGATTTGGACCCGAGCGAAGGCACGGTTGAAGAGGAAGGTCTTGAGATGTGCCTTGAAGCAGAATTGTGGAGCGAAGGAGACTAGCCTTGAGATCGCAGCAATCTGAGGGTTAATTCCTAGTGTTGTCAGTTTCCATACATTCCTTATGTAGTCTACTTTCATCCCCTTCCGCCACAGGCACTGAATTATTTTGTTCCTCTTCAGATTGGGCTTTCCTCTTTGACCTTTGTAGTTGGATTGAACTGAAATCACTTGCTATTCCAATTGAACTCTTGATTCCTTGCAGTCTATCGCTTCCTTGGTCTTCTCCTACTGCAGGGTTGTTGGTGAAGGTTTAGATATTTGGGCTAATAATAGTAGTAATCATCATCAATAATAATCCTTACATTTATTATAGTGTTTTATCACATCGTTGAGACATCGAATTGACGATAGTCCGTGGTGATATATTTTGTTGTACTACTACAACAACAACTTGGATTTATATAGCGCCCTCCACGCTGGATGGCGTCTCGGAGCGCTTCACAGTAATGGGTCCCGGGACCGAGCCGGGGGGAGGGGGAGGAAGGTGACCAAAGGTGCGGTCGAAAAGAAAGGTCTTCAGCAAAGACCTGAAAATAGAAAGGGAGGGAGCGAGACGAAGGGAGTGAAGAAGGGAGCTCCAGAGCCTCGGGGCGTAGTGGCTGAAGGCACGGCTGCCGAGTGTGGAGCGGAGGACTCAACAGCAGCAACAATTTACATTTATAAAGCGCCTTTCACATCGGGAGCACATCCCAAGGCACTGGACAGTCCAAGGGATTGCACCTCACCTCGGCCTGGAGTCAAGAGGGTAGGGTACAGTGGGTGGTGGTAGGAAGATGACCGAAGGTGCAGTTGAAGGGGAAATTGGAGGATATTCTTTCTTCTCCCCTCCCCCACCCAGCACACACGCTAGATTATATCATCCCAGTTGAGATCAACTTGAGAGTTTTTTTTAGCTAAAAAAAANCATCTTTAGACTAATGACGAATGGGATTTGAAGCCCGAAGGAAATGAAGACATGCGATTAGATCCACTGTCTGTTTCTGTAGGGAATTAAAGTGTACTTTCTCATTTATTTTTTTAACCCCATTGGTCATGGACGGAAATCAGTCAGTGTGTTTGGTTTCAATGTTTTTTTTGTGTTCTGGAGTCGAGCGTTTCGTTGCTTGTTCTTTGACCGGAAACCCATGTTTGCTGACAATCTGCGAAACAACTTAATTGGGGGGACACGAATATTTATTGCACTGAAATTATCTCCTTTCCCTCCCTCTTCTCCCCCAGGAAGTATGCTTGATAAAGAACTCAGTTGGCCAGATCTAATAACCCTCATGTGCTGGGTTAATTAGCAACTCCTCTGTGTATTACCAGCAATTAATGGCTAACTACTGTCTACAGCCACGTGTTCTTTATTCTATCCAAGTCCTAACATTGTGTATGTTTCCATGAGATCTCTAAATAATAATAATCCTTGCATTTGATGCAGCGCCTTATCACGTCTTCGAGACGTTTCAAAGTGCTTCAGAGGATATAATAAATAATAATAATAATCCTTGCATTTGATATAGCACTTTTAACGTCCCAAAGCGCTTCACGGAATACACTGTAAAGCGAGTTGACTGTATATCTTTGTGGGCAAAATACGGCAGCCAATTGCACACGGCTACGTCCCACAAACGGTCATGGATCGAGTGTCCAATTTAAAAAAAAATTTTACGCCCGCGTATTCTATCCATTCTCTACCCCCCATTCAGGTAAATCCTTCCCTATTCCCCTAAGTTACTTGCAATGCAAATTTACATTTATACAGCCTTTCTCGTTGAGAGGACTTTGCAAAGATCTTAACCGTCTGTGTGCTTGAGGGTGGGGTGGGGGAAGTTGATCAAAAGACAGAGCAGAGAGATAGGTTATAATAATAATCCTTGCATTTGATATAGCGCCTGATCACATCGTCTCAAAAGTGCTTCACAGAATATACTGTAAAGTGGATTGACTGTGTATTTTGTGGGCGAAACGCGGCAACCAATTGGACACAGGGGTGTCCCACAACCAGCGGTGGATTGAGTGATCAAATTATTATTATTTTTTGAAAGAATGATTACCCCCTGGAAAGCGATCCACCCATCGACTAACTACATGTTCCTACTTACCGCTAGGTAAACAGAGGTGTGTGTGTGTGGGGGGGGGTCAGGAAACTTGCCGAAGATTTTGCCGTGCCCGGGAATCAAACCCAGGTCTTCTCGCTTGCGAGGCGAGTGCCCTAACCACTACGCTACAGGACTCTGGATATGCAGCAAAATGGCAAAATATTAATCCATCCCCATTCAACCAAACCCACAAACAACATTGTGTCATGAGTCGCACAAACAGCCGTAAACTGGGTGACCTATGGTTAGAATGCCAGACTCCCCCCAGCGACCTGCAAACCCCTGTACTGGAGAATCAGTTTTGAAACCGATCAAGTTAAATGATAGATAGATAAGCGCGTTTACCTTATCTTCCACCCCAAGACCCGGGCGGCGTCAGTCAAGCTGACTCAGTCTGATAGGGGGAATGCCCAAAAGTGTACCAGAAGTGGCCAGACTGAATATTTCAATCAAAATCTCTGCAATATAGTATTTTAGTTTGTGCTTGCTGCCCTGGGCTCAGGCAAGAAGTTGCGAGCTGAACAGAAGCAGCTTGTATTTATATAGCGGAGACCCGTTGCACAACAACAACAACTTGCATTTACATATTTATAAATATATATATACATTTCTAAACCTAGAAGGAGGGTAGTTCCAACTCGACTAACAAGCCGTGCATTATAAAGAGAGACTTGGTTGTAAACCAGATTGTGGTGTGATGTAAATTGGTCGTTTTCAATCCACGACTGTTTGTGGGGACACTGCTGTGCGCAATTGGCTGCCGGGTTTCGCCCACAAATATACAGTCAATTAACTTCACAGTATATTCTGTGAAGCGCTTTGAGACGTCTAGGAGACGTGGAAAGCGTCATATCAGATGCAAGGATAATAATAATAATAATAATATAGTGCCCGTCACACTGGATGGCGTATCAGAGCGCATAATAGTTACCGCACTTACCTCGCAAGCTGGAGGACCTGGGTGGGTTTGATTCCCAGGTGGAGTGAAACCTTAGGGAAGTTTCCTTACTCTACACACCTGTTTACCTCGCAGTTAGTAGGAGCTCAGTTATTTGTCGACTGGCAGATTGCTTTCTAGGGGTAATAATCCCTGCAAAAAAGCAAATTATAAATAAATTTTGTGGGACACCGCTGGGCACGATGGGCTGCCGCATTTCGCCCACAAAATATACAGGCAATCCACTTTACAGGATATTCTGTTAAGCACTTTGAGACGTCTCGAAGATGTGAGAAGGCGCTATATCAAACGCAAAGATTATTATTCTTATTATTGCTCCCTTCGTGTAGAATAACGTCTCAGAGCTCAGTGGTGGGGGTGGACACTGAGCAAGCGGGAGGGGAGAAGGGGAGGGGAACGTGACCGTAAGGGTGGTCAAAGTAGGAAGACTTGAAGGCAGCTAGAGAGAGGGCTCGACGGAGGGACTACCAGGGGTTAAGGGGGTGGAATTGGAAAGTTCGGCCACAGATGTGGTGCAGATATGGCGTGGCCCTTGACACATCCTTTCCTGACTGTCTTACAGTAATAAGATTTTTTTTTCTCATCGGATGAAGAGAGATCTGCTCATTTTCAAACCTGCATGTCAAAATTGAGCTCGTCTGAATAATCACAACAACAAAATTACATTCGTACAGCGCCTTTCATGTCAGATGGCTGTTCCACGGTGAATAGATGACTAACTGAGACAGTCTCGGGCTCTCAGGCCCAGTGTCCAATGTAATAGTAATTTGGTTACTCAATCCACGACTGTTTGTGGGACACTGCGGTATCTTCTTTCAAGTACAAGCTGCTACCAAACACACAGTCACTCCACTTAATAGTGTCAAGCGAAAGGCGCTATATCAAACGCAAGTATTATTATAAATTATTCCCTTCTGGTTTGACTAATCGGAAGACTTTTGTATTACTTGTTACATCAGGTCCTGTGGGTTGCAGAGCTTTGAACTTGGGCAGTTGGTAACTGAAGCGGTTTTAAAGGAGTTTAAAATCGGTTTACTCAGCCCGTGATCCCTGTAATGCACACGCCTCGAATAGTTGTCGCCGAGACCATAGACCCTACTCACAAACTGGCTCTGTCTGATCTAACTCAGTTCTCGACTAGCAGAGGCCTTGAGCTGTGTCCCAACACTCGGTGTCTTACAGCTTACAGCTCCCGTTCTCTTTTATGGAGTCCTGTAGCTTCGTGGTTCGAGCGCTCGCCTCGCAAGCGAGAGGACCCGGGGTTCGATTCCCGGCAGGGCTACACGTTGAGCAGGTTTCCTCACACCGCACACACACACACACCTGTTTACCTAGCAGTAAGTTGGAACCCGGTTGTTAGTCGATTGCTTTTCCGGGGGTAATAATGCCTTCAAAATATTTTTTTAAAAATAATTTGGCCACTCAATCCACGCTTGTTCGTTGGACGCTGCTGTGCGTAGTTGGCTGCTGCGTTTCGCCCACAAAAAATGTACCGTCGATTTACTTTATGGGGTATTCTGTGAATCGCTTTCAGACGTGATAAGGTGCTGTATCGAATGCGAAGATCATTACTATTATTTGCCGCCAAGCTCCGCAAGAGTGTCACGGCTCGGTGTGAACCCGGGCAGCCACGAGCGGTGATGACAGACGAGCCGTCGTGTTTGAACCAACTGAACTCCTTCCGACACCCAACCGCTAGTGTCGGACCTGTCACTCACCAAAACGTCAGTTGCTCCAATGAATTATGCAAACGGTTCTCGTCCAATTTGGATATGCAAATCAGACAGCCTCCTGCCACTCAGGGATGTAATGCCTCTCCTTACATATCCCTCCCAGAGAAGGCCGTAGACAGGCCAACCACTGCCTGTGCTACACAACACACTAGGGGTATCTTCTTTCAAGTACGAGCTTGCATAAAGCCGACTTATTAAGCCAGCATCCATCTCACTCACTCCCCCTCCCGTTGCATTGCAGCCGTCAGTCACGTTACATTAAGACTTCTCGACAGAGGTGCGTAATAATATCTTGCAATGACAATAGCCTGCGAGTGTAGCTTTGACTTTTTGCAGCCTGGCCTTCCTTTGTGTGCGATGTCTTTCCGTGGCTGTTTGCATACCAAGCTACCAATCGTCCTTGCTCTGTGCTGGAGCTTACTTAATCAAACATAAGTCGAGGATCCGCATAGGTAGAAACAAAAGGGAGAGTTCCCAGAGGGAATGTTGCAGGCCTCTTTGGTTGCTCAAAGGAGGGTCCTCCGTTCTTCTCCCCTTTGGGAATATCGTCGCGGCTGATCCCATTGGAACCGTGATATCCGAATAATGGAGAAGCACGCTGCATCTAATTTGCAAATAATGCTCCCCCAGTTGAGGTACATGTTATGCTCTGCGGCAAAGTCAATGGCATTGGCAGCCTTGAAATTTGATTATTCACACCCCGATTTGATCATCCAGCGTGTCATTGTGGTCAGGGCTTGGTTTTCCACATGCAAAGGGGCTTGATATACAACCCTGAAGCGATACCTCCGTGACCTCCTATTTTCCTAACAACCTGCCTGCTCCCTCCACTCAGCGTGAGGGAACGGGGGGTGGTTGATAGGGGATTAGGAGTGAGATAGATGGAGGTGAGAGATTGTCACGTTGGGCCAAAGTATTTGTTTATTCCAATGCTTTGATGATGCTTTGTTGGCGATCCTTTGAATATGGGTTATTTGCAATCCTTTGGTGATCAATTATTGCAGTAATTTGTGAGCACTTCTTTACAGTCGCCGGGGGCAGAGAATCCTCCCGTTAACCCTGCGAGCCAAAGCCCTAATGGGTAGGTGGTCCTAGCTGGACAAGCAGCGGGAAAGCTTGCCAGACAGCGGTGTTAATGGCAAGTGATCTGTTTTCAGCTGGTTAGACTCCAGCAGTTTCCCCAGCGCTGGGGTCCCCAAGCCTTGGCCCTTGCCAACCTGAGCCCAATACTTTCTGTAATTAGGTTAGCAGGGTGCGTCCCTCAAGGGAGAGAGAAAGAGAGCGAGAGAGAGAGCGCATTCAATAAACATCTCCGGAATTTCCATGTGTAGGTGGGATGAATGGAACTCTCAGTTTGGTTTGGACACTCTCAAGCAACGGTGATGGGTTTTTGCATGTTCTCCGGGAGAATTGCCCATTCGCTGGGGGCTGGAGGCCAGGCAGGTTTCCTCCCTCTCCCCCCCCCCCCCACCCCACTCGTTCCTCCGAGCAGGAAGGATTTTCTAGGCCAGTAGTGAAGCATGTTAAATGAGCAAAGCGTTGGAATTGCAGATGTGCCCGTGGTTGAATAGATTCTTTCATTACGTGTTGTACTCGTTGATGCTGAATAGGAAATGTCTTAATATTGGTGTCGCTCTGTGCAATGCTCACTCTAGTGTCTCTTTTCCAGGGGTCATCTACTGTCCTGTGTGCCGGCAGCAGTGCTACACCTCGGACATCATTGAAAATTACTTCATGAGAGATGGGGTGGAGCTGGACAGTGCCTCGAATAACAAGGCGAGCCAGGTAGTGTGCACTTTTATTTCATCTCCTCTCCTCGACTTACGTGATGTGACTTCCCTGGTTTGAAGCGCTCCGAGACTCTTCCCGTGCAAAGGGTGCTATCCGAACGCAAGTTGTTGTTGCAATTTTTACGGCTGTCTTTCGCATGAAAAGAAATAATAAATTGTTCACTCAACCTACGACTGTTTGTGGGACGCTGTCGTGTGCAATTGGCTGCCGCGTTTCACCCACAAAATACACAGTTAGTTCACTTAAAACTGTTCTGTGAAGCGCTTTGAGACATCTCGAAGACGCGATAAGGCACTATATTAAATGTGAGGATTATTATTGTTATTAAATACTGAGACGTCCTCCTGGCAAGAAATAATAATAATCCTTGCATTTGATATATATTCACAGAATATACTGCACTGCATCGAATGAAAGGATTCTGCTTATTCAAATTGCTATTAAAATTGGCTTAAGCTTGGGTTTCTTCGATTAACTTCAGGATGGGATTCAGAGCGACGCTGTGGTATAGCCAAGGGTATAACTGTATTACCTGACTTGTATCATGGCTCTTTGCCTTGATATATCAAATGCAAGGATTATTATTATCATTATAGAACCAATTTGATTATCACCTAGCTTGGTTTCGCCCTGCTCTTGACTTGTTCGGCAGTGGTTATCAGTAGCTTAAAAGTGAGACTGCGAATCTCGAAACATATCATATCTTTAAAATGTCTGTGCGTTTATGACACAAGTTGGCGTTGATCCCAGTGAGTTCCGTGTGAGAGCGTAGAAAGTCTTGGCAGAGTTCCCAGAGCTTATCAGAGACATTTTAAAGAATTGAATAAGGTTGAATAACGAAGCCTCCGCAATCGGTGTCTGCAGCAAATGACTTGCGAGTTAACTTCATCGGGTGCTCTGCCATCTTTGTGCTGTTTCCCCAGGTGTGCACGAGCTGTGAAGACAATGCAATGGCCTCGAGTTTCTGCGTGGAGTGTGTGGAGTGGCTGTGCGATGCCTGTGTGGAAGCTCACCAGAGAGTCAAGTTTACCAAGGACCACACCATGAGCGCAAAGAACCCAGGACTCCTGGGTACAACAACAACAAATGACATTTACACAGGTCCTTTCACGTCGGGAGGACGTCCCAAGGCACTGGACAGTCAGGGATTTGCACCCGAGTTGCGATTAGGAGTAAGGGGAGGGTTGGGGAAATAATTCTCCTTTTAATTTCTCACTTGTTTAATTGCTAGTCCCTCTTGGTGTTCTCAAGTGGAGAATTGAGGGAACAACGCATAATAATCCTTGCATTTTTATTAATAATAACAATAATATTAATAATAACATAATAATCACATGTGCTAGGATTGCATCTCACCCAGGAGAAGAGAATCTCGACAGATTATCTTCAGATAAACCTATAGATTATGTTTTCTGGTGCCCTGATGGTGTGCGTGCATGTTTTTTTTTGCTCTCACCCTTCCAGGAGATGGGAAGACTGCGTGCGAACGTCCTGTGTTCTGCTCCATTCACAAACAGGAACCCCTGAAGCTCTTCTGCGAAACGTGTGATACGCTGACGTGCCGGGATTGCCAGTTGCTGACTCACAAAGACCACAGGTACGTAAACTCTAAACAAAACTTTGTGGAGTCCCGTAGCTCAGTGGTTAGCGCTCGCCTCGCAAGCGAGAGACCTGGGTCTGACTCCTGGCAGGACGAAACTATGGGCAAGTTTCCTTATTCCACACACACGCCCCTGTTTACCCAGCAGTAAGCAGGAACCCGGTTGTTAGTCGATTGGCAGATCGTTTTTCAAGGGTTCATATTGAGTCACTTGTTTGTGGTCCACAAGTTGTGGATTGACTATTTGTGGGGACGCTGCTGTCCTCCATTGGCTGCCGCGTTTCGCCCACAAAATATACAGTCTGTTCACTTTACAGTATATTCTGTGAAGCGCTTTGAGACGTCTCCAAGGATTATATAATTATTATTATTATAGATGCTGGAAATCCGAGATAAAAGCAGAAGGGAACACTCAGCAGGTCAGGCAGTATCTATGGAGAGAGAGAGAGAGAGAGAGAGAGGAGAGTGAGTTAACTCACTTTCCTCTCTCCATAGATGGTGCCTGACCTGCTGAGTGTTCCCAGCGACTTCTGTTTTTATTTCAGGTACACAGCGCTTCGTTGATCCTCTTCTCGCTACCCCTGCTGATTTCTCCTGCTGTTGCTTTTGATGCGGTGATAGTGTCATCAGGGGGCAAGTTGAATACTGACTAGTTGCGCCATATGCTTGGCAGTAAGTTCCACTCTCAGCTGACACTGTGGGTAAGCAGAGTCGAGGGACCCGGGTTAAACACTGTCCCCAAGGTTGTGGTGTATTGGCCAAATATTGGATAGAACAAATACCAGTCTGTTGCATTTTGCTCTCTTGCCCCTCCTCTCTCTCTGTCTGTCTGTCGCTGTCTCTCGCTGTGTCGCTAGGTCTCTCGGCCTCTCTCTCTGGATTCCTTAACCTCCTCCCTAACTTGCAGCCCTGTTTGGTGATCTGTATTGACCACAAATAGAATTATGGAAAAGACAATGTAATTAGGACTGCTGACGTGTGGTATTAAACATAAGGAAATCGCGTTGGCTTCATTTTATTTTAACTCTTTAACTCTTCAGGGTATGAGAGTATTCTTGGTTCTGAAGCTTGCTCCCTGCCCAGCCTTTGCCCTGAAATCCACAGAATGACTGGTTGATGGCATCTCCCAAGTCACAGTTACAGTAACAACCGATGATATTCACACAGCACCTTTCACATCGGGAGGACATCCTAAGGCGCTGGACAGTCCAGGATTTACACCCGAGCTGGTGGTTGGGATCTGGAGGGCAGGGAGGATAGGGGTAGGAGGTGTGACCGAAGGCGCAGTCGAAGAGGAAGATCTTGAGACGGGCCTGGAAGGGGCGAGGGTGACCGGTAACTAACTAAGAGTTCGACCAGTATCCATATATCGCACTATAATGCACAAGCTTCTTATTTACATCAGTCCCTGATCTCGTGTACCTGAGGACTGTTCAGCCGCTTGCACCCAAATAAAGCTCCTGCCATTAATGTGTTTCTTTCCAATTTAGCCAATTAAGATGAAACTTTTATTTCAAGAGCTTCCTTCTCAGTCTCAGCTTTTTTGTTAAGCACATTTTGTCAAGTATCTTCTAAACAGTCAACTTATCTTAACAGGTACCCTGGCTGGCACCTACTTCCAAATCTATTCCGCTTTCATTCGATCTGTTCCGGTTGATGTAGTTTTTAGAAACCATGTTAGCTTGAAATATTGCTATCACCAAAGTCAAATCGATGTTTAGTTGCTTCCTGTGCAATAGAGTGCAGTATAATTTTTTCTACACACAGGTTTTTCTATAATTGTGAAGTTAGTGGCGTTTAATTCACAGGATCTTTATTCTGAGTTTTATCCAGAGATCAGAATTCAGGGGACGTAAATCCTGTTGGCAACTTGCTAATTAACATCAGGTCTCCAGTACCCCTCCTGGCTGTTGAGCTGTGAACGTTTCTGCTACATGTTTTCGTCCTCTATTTTTTCTGGGATGGTTTCCAGCAGGTCTTTCACACTTTAAATATTCACTTCCTCAACTGTTGTCTGGCCATCTTGTTGCTTTATCACACCCGGCTGTGTACTTTTACCATATCATACAGCACAGAAGGAGGCCATTCGGCCCACTGTGCCTGTGCCAGTTCTTTGAAAGAGCTGTCCAAATTAGTCCCCCTCTCTCCCCATAGCCCTGCAAATTTGTCCTTCCCAGATTTCTATCTATTTGTCTCTTGAAAGTTGTTATTGAATCAGCTTCATCACCCTTTCAGGCAACGCATTGCAGATCCGAACAACTCGCTGTGTGAAATATCCAACCCTTCCAATTGCTCTGAACGCTGCCAATATGTTTTGCCAGAAAAACCTTGAGAAGGATGTCTAATCTACAGCTACAACTAGGCAGTCTTGCGGTGCTTCTCGGTGGGTGTGTGTGTGTGTGTGTGTGTGGGAGGTGCTATCTGGGGTGTTATGTCTTACTCAGTCTTGAACTGGGAACGAACGATATGTCAGTGCAAGGAAGGGAGATTCCTTTATTCTCCCACCCTGTCAGAGCTATGGCTGTCTCCTTTTGTGCTGCCTGGCGAGCTTCATAGCTGAATCATCAGTGAGATCCAGCAGTTGATCTTGATCCAGTCTCCGAAGGGCTTGGATGACCTCAACAGTGGGACGTTTGCCAATTTGTGGAGCGAGGGAGGCTTGGAGGGAGTTGGACAAGAACATAAGAAGTTGCAAGGCGAAATAGTCCATCTAGATCGCCTTCCACCATCCTGGGAGTCGCTTGCCATGTCGTGTCCCACAATACACTGTATTGTCCCGAACTATACTCTTCCCTCAATCCCTCCGTCTTGCCCCCTCTCTTCCCTTTTTCAAGTCCCACCTGAAAACCTTCCTCTTCCACCGTGCTTACAGCCGCCTCCTCGGGCTCCACCACTGTGAAGTGCTCTGAGACACTGCCCTGCGTGGAGGGCGCTATATAAGTGCAAGTTGTGAATGCACGGTAGTAAACCCTGTTGGCAGGCACGCTCAGCCTAACTAATCCTCGTCCTGTGGCAGGTACCAGTTCCTGGAGGAAGCCATTCAGAATCACAAGATGACTCTGGAGAACCTGGTGACGAGGCTGACTGAGAAGAAATCTCAGCTGCAAGCAACAACCAAGCAAGTGCGCACCAGGTATGCCGTGGGCACAGAGCCTCACACGAGGGTGATTTGGGACCGCCTGAGGGCCAAAGTGTCCATTGAGTCTGTGAGGCGTAAATGTTGACATTCATTGGAGTCCTGTAGCTCAGTGGTTAGACCCCTCGTCTTGCGAGGGTTCGATTCCCAGGCAGAACGAAACATTGGGCAAGTTTCCTTACTACACAAGCCTCTGTTTACCAGCAGTAAGCAGTAACCCAGTCGTTAATCGATTGGCGAATTGCTTTTCCAGGGGCTAATAAAATAAAAATAATAAATAAATACAAATAATAATAATTTACTCACTGAATCCACGAATTGGCTGCCGGGTTTCACCCACAAAACACACTGACGATTCGCTTTACAATATATTCCATGAAGCGCTTTGAGACGTCTCAACAACGTGATAAGACGCTATATCAAGCGCAATTATTATTATTATTGACAGTGCAAGCAAATAAACTTTTTTGGGGGGTGAGAGGGGGAAGAAGTTTTGCTGGATATTTCTACTGACAAGCCACAAGATTAATTTTTTTGTGTGTGTGTGTGCAGGTTAAGAGACGTTCAGGAGATGCAGAAGAAAGTTCAGGTGGAAATCAAGATGGCCATCCTGCAGATAATGAAGGAGTTAAATAAGCGAGGCAAGACACTCATCCAAAGAGTCGAGGTAAACCCAACGAGATGTCGGCTCCCTCTATGCCCAACTGCTTGCCTACTAGCCCACTCGATCACTGCACCACTACAACAACAACAACTTGCATTCACACAGCGCCCCTCAAGTGGGTTAGCGTCTCAGGGTGCTTGACAGTGGCGGAGCCCGGTGGGGGGAGTGGGGATGGTGGGGGGGTGGAGGCACTCGACAGAGACCGACCGGTGTTACCGCGGAATAGTGTTGGAAGTGCTAAACTGGGATTAGCAGGGGACGCTAACAACAAATTACATTTGTGTGCGTTTGGACAGTCAGGGATCAGTCGAGCTGGTGGTTGGGATCAGGAGGGGGTAGGAGGGTGACCGAAGGCACGGTCGAAGAGGAGGGTTTTCAAGGAGCCAAGGGAGGGAGAGAGGCAGAGGGACTGTGAGATGGTGTTCCAGAGGGTGGGGGCAGGAAGGATAAAGGCAAGGATTATGAGCTGCTTTTCCGTGTCGCTCTGAACGTGTAGAAACTGGCTGAGGAGCAGCAGATGAAGCTGGAGCAGCAGCACCTGTCAATGTCAAAACTGCACCGGCAAATGGACCACGCCTTGAGGTTTGCCTCCTGGGCAATCAACAGTGACAACACTACAGCCTTGCTGCTCTGCAAGAAACTGGTACGCGCACACAGCATCATAACAGGCTCTTCGTTCACAGGTCTGCTAGCTGCAGAGGCCATATCCTGCCCGAGGCTATGCACTTTGCCACCTGTTTGTGGGGACGCTGCTGTGCGCAATTGGCTGCCGCGTTTTATCCTCAAAACATACAGCCAATACACTTGACAGTGTATCCTGTGAGACACCTCGAAGACGTGATAAGGCGCTGTATCAAGTGCAGGGATTATTATTACTGTTGGGATTTCCGATCCCGTAGTTCAAAATATGACTCGACAATCCAAGTATGGTGCAGCAAGGTTTATTATGAACAGAGCGAACACACCACGCATTATCAAGTTACTACAAATGTCTAACAAGTTATACTATCAGTCTTTGAAGACAGTCACACAACGTCATGGAACACCTGCCTTGTGATTCTTAAAAGGACCTCTCCACACCTGTCTCTCTCTCTCTCTGGCGCCTTCCTGTTCTTCTAGAGTGCCATAGTTAAACCCTTTCTCTAAGTGTCCTTCCTAAGGCCCCTCTATCCACTTCTGATACAGTCACGTACTCAGGTTAATCAACCATCTGGCTTGGTGCCAGCCTGACTGAGTCTCCGTGAGGTCTTCCCTTTATCCTGTCTAAGATAGGGGATTGATCAGTTTAGGGCTGTATCTGGTGCTTGTTATTTTGTCATGGGGGATCATTAGTATATTCCTTTTAAGTGACTGGTTATTTCTTATCAGTATCCCGGGATGGTACCAAGGTCCTCTAGTTTAAACAACTTGCTCATTAGTTGCTATTCTTGAGGGTTGCCTTCTGTGGCTTGGCAGGGCCTGTCAGATCCTGTGTCGACCGGTACCTTGGACCGTTACCTCTGTGGCTTGTTGTCATTTACTGATAAGAGGTGACCCTCTGCCCTTTTCCAAAGCTGTCTTGTTATTCTTTCAGAAACAGAGAAAACCAGATGTGTTCTATCCCATGACTGTCAGTACTTTCTCCATTCTACATTTGTTTAACATTTCATTATTATTAAACTACAACTTCTGTAATCCAACATTATTATTGTACAGTAACTGAAGGGTGGAGAAACCCTCCTTGGATTCTGGCTTGGTGTCTGGCTGGAATCTAAAGGATTCTGCCTCTGTAGTTTTCAGTGAGGTTCAGCTTGAGACCTGTGATCTGGTTATGTCCTGCTAGCCTTCTATTCTCTTCCCCCCACTCTTATCCTCTCTCTCTCTTCCCCCCAATAATCAGCCTAGTCATAGTTAAAATGATTAATTTTGTAACATGAATGAAAACTGCTTCAGACGGGAGTTCACGGGAGGTGTTTGTGCTGTTCCTCTGACAGATCTTTTACCAGTTGCACCGAGGGATCCAGTCTCGAGTCACCACTGAAGAGCTGAGGAATGATATCATTACCTTTCTCTGGGACTCTGCTTTCTGGACCAAGAATGCAGCCAACTTTGGTGAGTAACAGACTGCAGGTTCAGCTGTCCACGTGGCTCGGGTGGTAACACTACTGGCCCAAGGGTCAGGAGGCATGTGGATCCAAGGCACTCGCTGAGGTCTCCAAGCCTTGGCTCTTGCTAACCTTGTGCCTATTGCTCTCCGAATTCGGTAAATGTGGTGGAGTCCGTGTAGCTCAGTAGTTAGAGCTCTACCCGTGCAAGTGAGAGGACCCAGGTTCGATTCCCGGCCAAGGGCAAACCCTTAGGCAAGTTTCCTTACTATATATACACCAATACACACATGCCTAGCAGTAAGCCGGAACCCGGTTGTTGGTCGATTGGCATTTCGCCCACAACATACACGAGTCGATTCACTTTACAGTGCGTCCTGTGAAGCGCTTTGAGACGTCTCGAAGACATGATAAGGCGCTGGATCAAATGGGATGATTATTGTTATTATTGTGACAATGTCAACAACCTGCTTATCTCACCCTGTGCTGTGTTTTCTCGCAGGCAACGTTCTCATTGAGGTCCCCCCGACTCTGTCGACTCACGGCTCGATCCCACACCTGTCCATGTCCGGGCACTGCCCTCAGCCACAACTCTCCCAACAGGCTCATGGCAGGGGGGCCGTGCCTCAGGGAAACGTCTGGCGAGGACATGTACCCCTGCAGTCCTCGCACCGCGTCGCGCCCCCCACTTACCAGCAGAACCTCGGCCAACAGCTGGCACCCCCGCGCCACCCTCACCCTCCTCCTCCTCCGCGCAGCAGCAGCAGCAGCAGTTGTCCATACGCCAGTCACACACGGGTCCACCCTGGCCCCCGGTGAGCGGGCAGTCGCGGGTGCAACAAGCAGTACAGTTGGTACGTCCCACCGCCTCTGCGCCCAACGCGAACGGGAGGTACCTGCAGCAGATGCAAGTTCAGGTGGTGCCGCAAGGGAATGTATTGCAGATGCTGCAACAACAACAGCAACAGCAGCAGCAGCAACAACAACAGCAGCAGCAGCAACAACAGCAGCAACAGCAGCAGCAGCTGCAGCAGCAACAACAACAGCTGCAGCAGCAACATCAGCATCAACAACAACAACATAAACAACAACAGCATCAACACCAACTTCAACAACAGCAGCAACATCATCATCAACAGCAGCAGCAGCAGCAGCCACAACAGTTGATGGACCAGTGGCTGATAATGCCACAGATGAATGGCGTGCAGGTGGGTTCATTTCTCTTTTAAGAATTTGACAGTGCTGGAGTCCAGTGCCATTTTTGTTCAGTAATAAATAATAATAATCCTGGCATTTGATACATCGCCTGATCGAGTCTGCGAGATGTCTCAAAGCGCTCCACAGGATGCGCTGTCAAGTGAGTTGACTGTCATTGCGCACAGCGGTGTCCCACACAGTAATGACCAATTATTATTATTCTGAAGGGATTATTACTCCGGAAAAGTGATCCGCCAGTCGACTAACAACCGGGTTCCTGCTTACTCCTACTTACAGAGGTGCGCGTGTGTGTGGAGTAAGGAAAGTTGCCCAATGTTTCACCCTGAACCGGGAATCGAACCCAGGTCTCGCTTGCGAGGCGAGTGTTCTAACCACCAAGTTATGATCCTGTGTGTTTTTAAAAACTCTCACCCTATAAAACTTTCTCCTCCACTTGTCTCGAGAGTCACAGTTGTGTTTGTCTCTCTGCTGTAGGTACACCAGCCTCAGGGGCAAATCATGGGCACTGCCAAGCAACAGATGCAGATGAGCGGGCATCAGTCTTCCACCTCTTTGTACCAACAACCTCAAGTTAACAGCAAGCTGCCTTCCCCCACCGCACGGCACCACACAGCCATTGGACCGAGCACCTCTGGCAGCGGACAGTCCCATCCCGTGTCGGTCATGCACAGCAGCACCCCCCTGCAGCACGGGCCCGGTAATAATGCTCCCCACAGACCCTCGCCTCCAGTGCAGCAAACTCCCCTTAGGCCCAGCATAGCCTCCAGTCGACAGCTACTGACCAACACATCGCAACGAGTGCATCCTAGCATCCCGGCCCCTCAGAACGTAAGTGTGATAATAATGCTAATGATCCTTGCATTTGATATAGCGCCTTACCGCGTCGTTGAGACGTCTCAAAGCCCCTGCGCCGAGCATACAACACGTTTGTTTGGCGCCTTTCACATCGGGAGGACGTCCCAAAGCGCTAGACAGTCAGGGATTTGGGCCCGAGCTGGGGGGGGGTCGGGATCGGGGAGGGTGAAGGGAAAGGAGGGTGGTCGAAGGCATGGTCGAAGGAGAGGGGTATGAGACCGGCCTTGAAGGAGGCAAGGGAGGGAGCGAGGCAAAGGAAATGTGGGATGGAGTTCCGGAGGGCGGGGCAGCAGGGCTGAAGGCCCGGCCTCCCCTGGTGGGGCGGTCCGGGGCGGGATACGTGGAACAGGCCCGAGCCCGCTGAGCGGATAGGTTGACATACTGTAAAGTGTAGTGACTGTGCATTTTGTGGGTGAAACACGGTAGCCAGTTGCGGACAGCAGCGTTGAGTGACCACACTATGATGATTTTTTTTTGGGGGGGGAAGGGTTTATTACCCCCGATTAAGCGATCTCTGTGTGGAAAGTGTGCACTGTGCTTATGCCTTGTACTGACTGCCTTTGGCTCTGCTCCAGACCTGGGCTGTTGTTTTTCCTATTGCTTCCGTTCCGATCATCAGGCCTGCTCTGTAGTCCAAGATCTGAGAGGCTGGCTCTACTCAGGCCAGAAAGGCCTCCAAGCGGCAGAGAAGTTAACAGCCGAGGTTCAGAACATCCCTTCAGTCTCGCTCCTCACCACCTGTTGCAATTCTCTCCTGCCCTCTTTTCCCCTCTGTGCCATCGACTCTTCCAACTCTGGTTTCTTCGTTCTTCAAGCCCTCAACCCTAGCCTTGGCGGCCAAGACATCCAGGACTCTCAGTGTGTGTGAGTCGCTGCGTTACCCCTAATCCCCCCCCCCCCACCCCCCACCACCACCACCAGCCCCAGCGCACACCTGCACACTTCCTCTCAATGCTGTACCTTCTGTTTCTGTTCCCCAGACTCCAGCGAGTGGAACTTGCCGTCAGTCTCCGACGACAGGCCGCCGCATTGGCAACAGCCCCGTAGACCAGCTGAAAATGTTGGTGCAGCACGCCACCTCCTACCCCTGCGTCATCCTGCCCCGCAGAGAAGGTCCTGCCAACGCCAGTGATCTTCTGCTCAGACAGGTAACACTGCGCATCATGGCCACAGAGAGGCAGGAGCCTGGACCCTACTGTGATCGGAGGCAATTAAACCCACGCCACCCGCCCTTTCCCAGGCATTGCTTTTACACCCTCCTGCACACCTTGCCTTTGATATCGTTCTTACAAGCGTCTTTCCATGGAATTACTGTCTTTCCAGGGAAGTGCTCTGGGACGCTACAGTTATACAAGTAGTTGTTGTCTGTTGTTGCGTGTAGTGACTGTAGCCAAACATGGTGGCTATTTGCACACAGCAAATTGCCCACTGTTACCTTTAGGGCACGTGAACGTTTTGTTGCCGGTTTCCTTTCCCAGTTCTGTTTAGCTTCTCGTCCTATGGAACATTCCTTACCTCGACGGCGTGATGAGGCGCTGTATCAAATGCAAGTATTATTATTATTATATGCGTGCTAGGAACGGGATCGTATTTGTGTGCTTGTATCGATTTTCTACGATGTGCAAGGTATAAAAATGTCTGAACGATCAAGGAGCTGCATTTGTGGTGGAAACAGCGCACACAGTGGCTCCTAATAGTAAATAGGTGTGTAATTATTTTAACCTGAATGTCCGTGAATCTAGACCCAAAGGCAAAGTAAGTGATTGTAAATGTGCATCGGTTAAGCGTGCAGTCCTGAACCCCCATTTATACAGAAAGAAGGTGCAGCGTTCATTTATACACAGGATATTGCTGCTGGTTTGTGAGTGTGTGACAAGGGGACGTGAATGCAGCATTGTCACAAGTATCTTGTCACCCGATATCAATTGTGCTGGCATTGAAGAGGAAGGTTAATCAAAGGCTGTAAGCGGAAGCTGGGACCCCCACCTCCCCCTAGATGAAATAGCATTAGAGTGGAGTCCTGAAGCTCAGTGGTTAGAGCATTCACCTCGCCAAGCGAGAGGCCCCGGGTTCGATTCCCGGGCAGGGGCGAAACTTTAGGCAAGTTTCCTTACTCCATGCGGTGCTCTCCAGCCTTTGATTGACCTTCCTCTTCGAATTCCTCTCTATTTTCCCACCTAAATGCCAGCTCACGCCTCTGTTTACCCAGCAGTAAACGGGAACCCTGTTGTTAGTCTATTGGTGGATCGCTTGGGTAATAATCTCTTTGTTAAAAAAAAAAATTGGGTCCCTCAATCCACCACTGTTTGTGGGACGCTGCTGTGTGCAATTGGCTGCCACGTATCGCCCACAAAATACACAGTCAATTCACTTGACAATATATCCTGTGAAGCTCTTTGAGATGTCTCGAAGACGTGATAAGGCGCTGTATCAAACGCAAGGATTATTATTATTGTTGTTGTTGAAGGAAATGGCTGGAAATGGCTGAGAAACTGGGAGCAGTGTCCCACAAGTAGTCATGGATTGAAGCGACCAAATTATTATTATGTATGTATCTTCTGTTTGCAGTATTCCTGCCCGGGTCCTTCTCTGGGGCCAGAACAGGTGTCGAGGGACGAGAGTTTACTCTACTCTCTGGTCCTGACCCCCGATGGAGCGTTACAATGGTCTGAACCGGGTTCGGAAGGCTTCATTGAGGGGCAGCCTGAATACAACCACCCTCGCGTGTTTGCAGAACCAAGGAGGGACATGCCCTTCAAGGTCAGCAGAACCCCACCCCCAATCCCCCAGTTGATCATTTTCCTCCCACTCCATCACCACCCTTCATTTTATCTTCAGTTTAACCAAATTCTTCCTCCATCCCCACCCTCATTCAACAGGGATGGATCCAACCTGCGTCTATTCCTTTCCCTTCCACCCCCGCTCGGCTGGTTCCGGCCTCCCGTTCATCCCTCGACCCCTCCGCTCCACCATCAGCAAGGGCAAGTTGTTGTTGATGTTGTCATGGCCCCCACCCCCCTCCCCCCCACTCTTTTCAATAATGGTTGGAGTTCATGAGCCAGAGTTCCAGGACACTGCTGTGTGTAATTGGCTACTGCGTTTCGCCCACAAAATGCACAGTCACTCCACTTTACAGTGTATCCTGTGAAGCACTTTTGAGACGTCTCAAATACAAGGATTTTTATTAAAGTTTATTATCTGGTTATTTTCACTTTTTAATTACAGTGGGGAATTTGTTTCAATTTTCTCTCGAGCGAAAGGCTTCTTGCACAATCTTTCCTGTAATTATTATACACTTGTTTTATTACTCTCTCCTCTCTCTGCCTTCCTGTCTCCTGCGCACATCTTCCTTCTCTCTCTCTCCCCCCCTCCCACACAAAATCCCCCCCAGACATTCAGCCAGCTGTCTAACACATGCGGAAAACCCATCACTGTGCTTAAAAGTAATCAAACTGGGATTTCCTTGCATCCCACCTGTCTTGGGGAGCCCAGAGTGTGCGTTCGGGTAACCTCTGGAGTCTAACCAGCTAAACCCACAACAGCTTGCCGTTGATATCACTGTCTATCAAGCTTTCCTGCTACTTGTCCAGCTAGGACCACCCTACCCATTAGGACTTTGGCTTGCGGGGTTAACAGGAGCTGAGTGGGATGACTCCCTGCCCCCAGTGACTGGTCAGCCCTTCCAAGTCCTGCGGGTGAGCCGGGCTGGGCTGTGCTGTCATCAGCAGTGCCCCTACAAACAGGACTTGACTCACATAAGGAGGGTTAATTGCAGTGTTCGTCAAAAAGAGATGGCTTCAATATATTTTATGTATTGGCAGCTATCGGACGCTTTCAGCTGCACGGAGCAGGGAGAGCCGAGAAATGTCCTCAAAGACCTCCAAGACACTGCAGGTAACCACAGCCACCGTCTGTGAGCTTCAGTTCATTGAACGTTCTCTAACTGACTCCTGTGTTACATTAACAGTTGTGTTCTCTGACCGCTGGGGTTTGCATTTCTCTAGAGCCCGGACACGTCTCCTTGCCCCAGATTTCTACCGAGTGTGAAGCTGACAGGTAAGTTCACCCCCTCCTGGCTTCTTTCTATGCAGTCCTGTGGCTCAGTGGTCAGAGCACTCGGGTTCGATTCCCGGGCAGGGCAAAATGTTGGGCAAGTTTCCTTACTCCGTGCACACACACACACGCACGCGCCTCTGTTTACCCAGCAAGTAAGTAGGAACCCGGTTGTTAGTTGATTGGCAGATCGCTTTTCCAGGGTAAATTTGTGAGGACGTCGCTGTGCGCAGTTGGCTGCTGCGTTTCACCCACAAAATTTACAGTCAATTCACTTTACAGCGTATTCTGTGAAGCGCTTTGAGACGTCTCGACGACTATATCGGAAATGCAAGGATATTATTATTACCATTGGTGCTGTGTGTGTGGGTGTGTATAGAAGATGAGATACCAGCTGTGAGGCCAGCCCAAGACCATTAATTGCTTTCGAGCTTGAGACACTTGTCTGCTGACTAGCTGTGGCTCTGATTGCTTTGTGATACTGTTTGCACTCTGCCATTCCAGCTCCAGCCCCAGTGTTAAACCCAAGCAGCCGATGAAGGTGCCTTACGTGCGGTTGGAGCGGCTGCAGATCGACCTGTCCAGCGACACCCAGCTCCCGACCTTCAAGCTCTTACCGGGAAACGGCCAGGATGAATTCAGCCTGATTGTCATCGAGGGAGACGGCTTGCCTTTGAATCCCGTCTTCACGGTGAGTACCGCCAAGGTTCCTGCTTCCCGACAAACTCCATCGTTTTTTTCACCAGACACTCATGTTTACTGAGTTTCCGGTGCTGGAGAAGGGGCTGGGCCGAACGCTGATGGTGTGGACAGAGGTGGAGTTCCTTCTGTCCATTACATGTAGCTCAGGGGTTAGAGCCCTCACCTCGCAAGCGAGAGGACCTGGGTTCGATTCCCGGGCGGGGCGAAACATTGGGCAAGTTTCCTTCCTCCTCCACACACACACGCGCGCGCTTTGAGACGTCTCGAAGAGGTTTTGGGCACTGCATCGAATGCAAGGATGATTATTATTATTATTCCGGTTTATTGCCGATTCGCTGGTGTACCACCCTTTTTTTTTTCCTCCTCCTGCGCCAGGCGCCAACTCTGGAGAGCACACTGACGCCACCCAACTCTGCCTCGCCCGCTTCCGTGACGGAGATCGAGTTCATGTTCCACGAGAGGACGGAGGTGCCCGGCAAGCGGAGCCACCATGCCCTGAGCCCCACGCCTTCCCCCAGTGAGAAGTCCCCAGGGAGCATCCCCGACGTCAAGTCCTTCCCGCCGTGCACCGCCAGCGAGAAGAGCGAAGAGCCGGACGAGGCGGGCTGCTGCGCCGTGTGCAGGCGGAGCGGAGATCTCGCCTGTTGCAATCGTTGCCTAAAGCTATTCCACGCGGACTGCCATGTTCCTGCAATGCCCAGCCTGCCCGGGTGCGTCCCCCTCACAGCCGTCCTCGCCCACTGGCCCCCACTGACCCCCTCGCATGCTCAGAGGATACAGTGCAAGATCCCAGTCCTCGCCTTCGAAGCCACTGAGTGGAGGGAGCGGACAGGTTGGTAGGGGGTTTAGGAGTTCACGGAGGCGAGGCTTTGCTCCTCCCTACCTCCTAATCCCCTACCAACCTGTCCACTCCCTCCCTTCAGCGGGCTCCGGCCTCCTTTACGGTCACCCACCTTGCCCGCCCCACCATTGGCGGACGAGCCTTCAGCCTCTCTGCCCCTATCCTTTGGAACTCTGTCCCACAGTCCCTCCGCCTCGCTCACACCCCCCCTTCAAGCCCCTCCTCTTCGACCGTGCCTTTGGTCACCCTCCTACACCCACCCTCCGCCCCCCTCCTGATCCCAACCACCAGCTCGAGTCTGGATCCCTGGCTATCCAGCGCCTTGTGGTGTCTTCACAAATGTCATTAGTTGTTGATACCTTGAGGGCCCGAGGATTTACCTACCGGGCCCCAAGTGATCCTGACCTCTTCGTACCCGGGCCAACAATCCTCCAGATACACTGGCCGTTCACTTCATGACTGTTTGTGAGACCTTGCTGTGGGTGTAAGTTAGCTGCCTATTTGCCTCTAACCCAGTCACCACTGACGCTATATGAGCCAACTGGTAGGGTAGTCTGAGCTGGAAGCTTGCCAGAGAATGCTGGCAATGACGGACTTTATGGTTTAAGTTGGTTAGAGTCCCCATCAGTTACCCCCAACGCACACTCTGGGGTCCTAATCGCCGAACGGATCGCTCTCAAGATCCTCACACTCGTTTTCAGATCCCTTCGCTCCCTGGCACCTCCCCTACCTCCTGACCTGCTTACCCCCCAACCCACTACCAACTGGCTCTGGCCTTCTGCATGTCCCCCGTAGCCTCCCACAACTCTGGGACACTCTTCCTCTATCCCTCCCTCCGCCTTGCCCCCTTCCTTCCCCATCTTCAGGTCGCGCCTGAAGACCTTCCTATTCGACCGTGCCTATCCCCTCCCCCAGCTCAGTGTTGTGCTCCACCACTGTCAAGCGCTGTGGGACGCTGCCCTGCCTGAGGGGGCGCAACTTGTTGTCTCACCCCCCACCCCCCAGCCTTGGCTCTTGCCAACCTGTGATTAATATTCTCCAGGATTAGTTAGACCACGACGCGACCCTCTAATAATGCGTGTAGCTGTCGTGCACACAGAGCTCTTGTTGGTTTGGAGACTCGTCCAGCGCAGGGATGGGTTTCCGCGTGCGTCAGACAACCCCGGCTGACCAAACCCGCTGTTCTCCCACAGCGCTGAATGGACGTGCTCTATGTGCAAAGATGCAGAGGAGACGGAAGTACAGGAGTGTTCGGACTCAGCAGGGAGCAGTAGCAGTACCGAGGTGGACAGCCTCTCCTCTCCCGATCAGAAGGTTTGTATTGATTGATTGATTGATATTTACGTACTCGATGGTAAGATTCTGGGTGTAGGGGGCACAGGATGGGAGGGGTGCCCGATCTAATAAAATACCCGACTAAATAGACCGCGGAGTAAGGCAGTCATAGGCAAGGCTGATCAATGAGCCTTCCTATGTATCAGATCAACACACTCAACAATTACACGTGTATAGCGAGCGCCCATCATGTCAGAAAGGCGTCCCAGGGCGCTGGACAGTCGGAGGTTCTGGGACCCGAGTTGGGGTTAGGAGGGGTGGATGGGTGGCCAAAGGTACGGTCGAAGAGGAAGGTCTTTAGACGGGACTTGGAAGGAGGCAAAAGAGGGGGTGAGATGGAGGGATTGCGGGGCAGAGTTCCAGAGCGTGGGGGCGGAGGTGCTGAATGCCCGACTGCCAATGGTGGGGCGGGAAGTGCGGGAGCAGTCCTGAAGTAGGGTGGGCCGAGCTGTGCCAATTAGTAGTCTCGGACACTCCCTGTATGAAGGGCGCTCTACAAATGCACGTTGTCGTCGTCGCCTCACGTTTGTCCCTGTTCCTTTACAGAGGTGCGAGCGATTGCTGCTCCTTCTGCTGTGTCACAAGCTGAGCCAGGCCCTGCACAGTCCAGTAGACGTCTCGCAGGTAAGAGCACGAAGAACAGCTCTTAGCTGAGGTTGTGCCTCTGGCTCAGACACTCAACTCACTGCCTTTCATATTTCGTCTTCAAATCCCTTCACGCCCTGGCACCTCCCTACCTCTCCGACCTGCCTACCTGCTCAGGTAGTGCCCTATCCCACTACCCTCTGCCTTTGCCCAGCTGGCTTCGGCCTGCCTCCTGCTTGTCCCTTGTGCCCTCCGTTCCACCATCGGTGGCCGCGCCTTCAGCCTTTACGTTCCGAAACTCTGGAACTCTAACCCCCTCCGCCTTGCCCCTTCCTTCCCCATCTTCAGGTCACGCTGAAGGAATTCTCTTGGTTCAAGGGTGATCGATCTCTTGTAACCGTGTTAATGTATTGCCTGGCACCAACCAACCTCCTGCTTTAAAGATCATGGCTGATCTGTACCTCAACTCCAATTCCCCGCCCTTGCCATGAAATCCCTTAATACCCTGACCTAACAAACATCTTATCCACCTTTTGGGAGAGAGTTTCAGATTTCCACCCCCCCCCACCCTTTTGGGTGAAAGATCTGCTTTGATCTAATAAAATGAGAAAAAAAGGGGCAGGATGGTCTCTTATTACTGTGTATAGTTGCCTGCTCACTCGCTCGCCCTCCCTCCCTCCCTGGATGCAGACTCCCACTCGCTCCTCTTGTTTCTTTTAACAGCTGCAACATCCACACGTGGATGTATCGTCCATCAGAGAGAAACTGCAGAGGACGAGCTCCGTGCGTTACCGTTCCCCCGAGGAGTTTGTGTTGGAGATGAGATTGATGTTCAGGATATTTGGTAAACTGGTTCAGGTAAGGACTCGGGCAGCCAGACGTCTCCAGTCTGTGAACCAGGAAGGGTGACCCTTATGCCCTGGCACCTCCCTACCTCTCCGACCCGCTTACTTCCCACCCTCTACCCCGCTGCCTGCCCTCGACTGGCTTCGGCCTCCTGCATGTCCCCTCGTGCCCCCCGTTCCACCATCAGTGGCTCCGCTGCGCCCCGAAACTCCGGAATACTCTTTCTCAATACCTTCCGCCTTAGCCCCTTCTTTCCCCATCTTCAGGTCGTGCCTGAAGATCTTCCTCTTTGACCGTGTCTAGGGTCACCTTCCTCCTTCTCCTCCCCCCCCCCCTTCCCCCACCCTCAGCTCGGTGTCGCGCTCAGCCACTGTCAAGCGCTCTGGGACGCTGTACGAATGCAAGTTGTTGTTGTTGTTGACCAATCTGGTGACTCATCCAGGGGTGTGCGCACCTCAGTGAGGTTATTGCAAGAATCCGGGGTGTCCGAGGCTGGAATAGAAAATCTAGTTGGAATCATAGAATCCTGCAGCACAGAAGGAGGCCATTCGGCCCCATGTGGCTCTTTGAGAGCTCCCCAATCAATTCCACTCCCTCATCCTTTCCCCCATGGTCTCGCAAATTTTGGGGGGGGTTTCAAGTACCTATCTAATTCCCTTTTGAATGCGAATTATTTCCCATTATGGAAATAATGGGACTTTTTTTTGCCATTGTTGCATCTGCTTCCACCACCCTTTCAAGGCAGTGGAGTGACTGTGTTTTCTGGACAGAATGATTTTGAAGATGATTTTACGTCGAGTAATCACAGGTCGGAATTGCTTTCAGGACGACCAGGTCACTCAGTCGGTGCTGGCGTTGGAGTCCTACTTCGAGGAGAGACAGTCGGACGCGTTCAGTGGCACAACCCGCCCGTCGATCGCAACGTGCGAGCAGGAGACCGAGACGGCCGCTGGACCTCCCCTCGATGACAGTCCCACGCAGCCCAAGAAAAGACGTCTAGACGAGGAGCACAAGGCCCCAGGGGAGGGTTGAGGAGCGACCTTCGCGCTCTCAGTGAGACTCGGGAGCTGCGATTAAATATTTAAGAAGCCTTAGCAGCCGGCGCTGAAACCGATGCCCTTGAAAGTACAAACTTGGGGCCAAAAAGCTGCCAAAACAAAGGGATTTTCAGCTGCGTGGAGGCAGAGGTGCTTATATAAGCTGCTGGCTGGGGGGCCGAGGGACTAACTCCCTTTGGTACCTGGCTTTATCGGACTTTTACCCACCATTTTTTTTTAAAACTATGTGTAAAACTGTATTAAAGGATTTGCTAGTGTGTTAGGCATTGTCTCTATGGTGAAATTCGGAGAGGATTTCATGGTCATTGACAAATGCTGGTGTGTCGCTCTCCTACTTTCCCCACTCGTTGCTATTTATCAATTCCCTCCACTGCTTTACTCCTCCCTACGTCTGTGAGCTGCTAACTCCATACAGCTCCCTCCGCTTCACAGAATATTGCTGCAAAGTGTAGTGACTATGTTTTGTGGGCGAAACGGGGCAGCCAGTTTGCGCACAGCAGTGTCCCACAAACGGTCGTGAATTGAGTGACCAAATTATTATTATTATTTATTTTAAAGGAATTATTACCCACGGGAAAAGCAATCCACCAATCGTCTAACAACCACCTACTTACTGCGAGGTAAACAGAGGCATGTATTTGTGTGTGTGTTGTGTATGGGGAAGTTAAGGAAACTTGCCCAATGTTTCATCCTGTCCGGGAATCGAACTCTAACCACTGAGCTACGGGACTCATACTCAGGGTTGAAGAGGCAGTGCAAAACATACCTACCAGTCATCAGATGCAGTGAGAACTTCAGCCTTGCCTCTCCCATCCGAGTGGAGCTGAAGGGCTTCCAAGTTGGGGTGACGCCATGGTACAGGTTGGTGTGGTACACACCAGCGAATCGGCAGTAAACTGGAATAATAATAATCCTTGCATTTGATCCAGGGCCTTATCGCGTCTCCGAGACGTCCCAGAGCGCTTCACCGCAAAGTGGAGCAACTGAGCTTTGTGGGCGAAAGGTTGGCAGCCAATTGGGCCCAGCGACGTCCCCACAAGCACAGCGGCAGCCTCTGAACCTCATCGCTCTAGTTGCGCCACATTCGTGGAGCCCTCCCTTGAACAGGAGGGCGTTTGCCTGGGAGCCCGACTCACTGTGCCCACAGAACCCGCACCCTGAGCATCGAGGGAGTTGAGTGAGTGTTGGCCCTTTGAGGATACAGCAGTAACGCGGACACCAGATATTGCCCTCGTCTTAGCAGCTCCATCTTGGCTTTGCCGGGAGGAAAGAAGATGGGAGTGGGAACAATGGTACCTGGACCTTCACCTTTTTTTTTGTATGTAACGTGCGGACGGACGGACCGCGTGTGATGCTACAGATTGATTGATTCAATTGCTGGCAATCCCTAATGGGAGGCAATTGGTTTAATTAATGCGCGGAGGAGCCTTGGCTTGTGAAACCCGATCGGTATCGCGCGATGCGGGGAACACTGGGCGTAAAATGTAACCCCTCGATTTTAGCAATTCACCGGAGTCTGCACCCGGGCGTTAAGTCGATCGGTGGATTGCTATTCCCCGCCGCCGCCCCCCCCCCCCCACCACCTTTTTGTTTAAAATAACAACTAATTTGCTCACTCCAATCCACCGCTATTTGTGGGGGCGCCGCTGTGCGCAATTGGCCGCTGCCTTTCGCCCACAAAATAGTCAATTCACTTGGCAGCATATTCTGTGAAACGCTTTGAGACGTCTCGACGACGTAAGAAAGCGCTATAATTTTTCTGAAGGGATCAGCCCCTCCACCCCCACCCCCACCCCTTAGAAAAGCGATCTGCTGGGTGAACGGGCGCGCGTGCGCGTGTGCGCGGAGTAAGGAAACTTACTCTGAGGCTTCGTCCCCGGCCGGGAATCGGACCCGGGTGCTCTCGCTTGCGAGGCGAGCGCGCCGATGGCCAGAAAGGGAGGAGGCGATGGATTGACGTGCGTGCGCGGGTGGGGGGGGGTGAAAGAAAAAAAAAAACCCCGAAAAAAGTGGCGATGCTTCACTGAAATTTATTCACAGCCCAAGCCACACAATACAACACAGTAAAAGCCGCGTAGTTTCGTACCGCCGCCCTGCGTGGGCGACTTGAAATGCTTCGAGGAGATGATTTGAGTCCTTAGCAAAGGTGGGAAGGTACAGCTAAGCCACGATCTAATCGCGTGGCACAACAGGCTCAAGGGGCTGAATGGCCTCCCCCCCCCCCTTCTGATCCTATTCGAAACGCAGAGGCATTTCTCACGGCCCCAATACGCCTAATGATAACTTCGGTCTCTTGGATCCGCGGCCGTTTGCGGGGACGCTGTCGGCTGCCGCGTTTCGCCCGCAAAATCCACCACGGTCGCCGCACTCTGCGGTGGCTCCTGTGAAGGGCTTTGAGACGTCTCGAAGAGGCGATCGGGCGCCGGGTCAAACGCGAGGGTTGTTGTCGACGCACAAAATACTGCAGGCGCTGGAATCCGGAACGAAGGAGAGAGAGAGAGAGAGAGAGAGCCCGGGAATCTCGAGGTCGGGCAGCGTCGACGGGGAAAGGAAAGTGAGTCAACGTCTCGGGTCCACGACCCTTCGGACGGAAGGACCCGAAACCTTGACTCACTTTCCTCTCTCCGTCGACGCTGCCCGACCTGCGGTGCTTTCCCGGCTCTCTCCGTTATCGCAAGGATTATTATTACGGAGCGGGGAAGCTCCTGGGGGTGGTGAGAAAGGTGACCACCGTAAGGGTCGGGGTATTGCTGCTTCGGGGTTTGCTCCAAGGCCGTGACGGGCGTTTTGCGGTTGAAGGAGGGAAGGGGGAGGCAGAGGGGTGTCGAGAGATGCTGACGGAGGCGGACGTCGGCGTTCAGCAGGACACCGCGTGAGGCAGGCGGCATCTCAGCAGCTTCAGGAAGCTGACTATTTTGTGGGAGTCGCGTCGAAAGCAGCTCAGGAGGCTGTGGACCTGCAGCGTACGGGAACACTCGTCGCCTGGAGATTCCTCGGTCCATCGCTGTCGCTGCTGTGCGGCGAGATCGGCAAGTCCGACCTGCAACGAGAAGGGAAATGTAGCGCTGAGCATCGTCCGGGCTGGGATCGTGTCTCGGGGTTTATACGTAGCGTTTCTCCCACAAAATACCCAGTCACTTCACTTTACAGTGTACCCTGTGAAGCGCTTTGAGACGTGCTGTGGCGCTGTATCGAGCGCGAGGATTGTTATGATCGTCCGTATAATAATCCGCGCATTTGGTACAGCGCCTTATCGCGTCTTCGGGGCGGCTCCAAAAGCGCTTCACAGGCCGCCCCGCAAAGTGAAGTGACCGCGTATTTTGCGGGCGAAACGCGGCGGCGTCCCCGCCAAACGGCTGTGGGTTGAAGCGACCGCAATTTTAACGTCGTTTCGTTTCTCTCGAGGGATTATTAGCAGGCGAGCGTGGGGAGTAAGCTGCTCGCAGTTCCGCCCCCCCCTGCCCGGGGAATCGAACCCAGGTCTCTCGCTCGCGAGGCCGGGGCTGCGGGACTCCTGTTGTTATTCAGCGCCTTGGGATGTCCTCTGGGGCTGTATTTACCCGCTCGGCAACCTTGGGCATTCCTTGAGCAAGTCGCCTCATCTGCTCGTCCATCTCCACGCTGCGCCGCAGGAAGTGACCAGACCCGACGGAGGAGTTCCCGAACTGAGCGACTAAGTAACGCACGGGTTCGTGCCAATACCCCACGAGGGCGGTCACCAGGACCTCACCCACCTGAAAGGCAAAGCGGGTCGGTTCTGAACAGACGAAGCCGGTTCGCGGGAGGAGATTTTTTTTCTCTCTCTCTCTCTCTCTCGTGTCGGTCGCCGCAGAAACCCACCGTTAAGTGGAGCGACTGCGCATTTTGTTCGGCGAAGTGCAGCCGCGGATTGATGTTCTTTTTTGGTGGAGGGGTTATAAGCCGATCGACTAACGGCCGGGTTCTTACTTACTGCTGGGTAAACAGGCGTGTGCGCGTGCGCGCGTGTGTGTGCGTGTGTGGGGGGAGTAAGGAAAGTTGCTTAAAGTTTCTCCCTGACCCCACCTGGGAATCGAACCCGGGTCCTCTCGCTTGCGAGCGAGGGCTCGAACCGCTGAGCTGAAGGACTCCTCAAGTTCTTCGCCCACGTCCTTTTTAAACGCACGCCCTTCGCGACTGTTTGTGGGACGTCGCTGGGCGCAGATTGGCTGCTGCGGTGCTCACCTGCGGAGTGCGCAGTCACCTGGACTTGCAGTCAAATCCCGTGAAGCGCTTTGAGACGTTCCAAAGTGAAAGGAGCTGCAAATTAGTGTTATGTATTGTTATTTAAGCGTCTTAACGCGACTGGATCTCGGATACTCACACTCAGTTTCTGCGCTTGCTCCTTGCTGTTGGGTGTCGCTACAGATGAGTTGGGACATCGACTTCCAGCCTTCCAGCCCATCGCGTGTCCCTGTCCGTGTTTATAATACTCGCTCTGTTCGGCGGAGGAGGGCACAGGAGATAATTCAATGAGACACCGCTATTTAGCCAACAGGTAGGGTGACCGCAAGCGCAGGGGAACGTTTGCCACACGGCGCTCTCTCTCTCTCTCTTTCGACGGCCGAGCTATGTGTGGGTTTAGCTGGTTAGACTCCGGCAGTTAACCCCAACGCACACTCTGGACTCCCCCCTCCCCCCAACCACCTCTTGGCTCTCGCCAACCTGCGCCTAATACTCTCCGGAATTAGGTGAGCGGAGGGCGTCCCTCCAGGGAGAGAGAGAGAGAGAGAGAGAGCGCATTCCGTTCCAACCATCTATCTCTGGGGTTTCCAGGTGTGGGGGAATTCTCAGTCGGGTTTGGAGACTCTTAAGCCACGGTGACGGGTTTCCGTGTGTGTCAGACACCCGACCGGTCACGGTGACGGGTTTCCGTGTGTGTCAGACACGCGGCCGGTCACGGTGCCGGGTTTCCGTGAGTGTCAGACACCCGACCGGTCACGGTGACGGGTTTCCGTGTGTGTCAGACACCCGGCCGGTCACGGTGACGGGTTTCCGTGTGTGTCAGACACCCGGCCGGTCACGGTGACGGGTTTCCGTGTGTGTGGGCAAAATAACAGCCTGTCCAAAGCCGTGCAACTATGGACTGCCTACTACACACAGTCACTACACTTCGAGACGCCCTCCCGGCGTGAAAGGCGCTGGATCGAACATAAGGATCGTTAGTATCATCATCACTACTATGATCTGTACTTACAAAATCATTGAAGATGTCGTTGGACAGAGCGTGGACCCGGATTGAGAGT